ATCTCGGCTCACCAAGACATCTCTAACGGGTATCGCGGGTTGTTTTCCTCGGGCCCTGAGGGATGTGGATAACTTAGATCTGACAACACGATGTAGGGTACATGACCAAACCAATCTGATTATTTCGCAAGGACCTAGGCTGCACATTGATGTTCATTTGTTCCAATACAGCTGGACAATCAGCTCGAATCTGCAGAACATTAGCAACATAAATAGCTCTTAGAGTGTCGCGACGAGTGTAGAGAGGTTCTAGGTGTATTAATGAACAAAGTTCCTCATAGGGGGGCAGGCTAAAAGGCCACGATAATCGCCGAAGTGCGTAGCGAATGAATCCGCATTGAACTGACTCGATTCACTCAACTCCATTATGATAAAAGTAAGATGTTGTATCCACGACACGACCGTAGATTTGACGGAGGATTACGTGCTCGGTATCAATATTCGGCGACTGTGTTAGGGAATCTACTTTCTACTCACTCGTTCCAACCACTCGTTTTCTGATGAAAAAACTACGCAGTTTTTGATTGGAGGAATTTCTTGCTTAAATTTTTCCAATTAGCGTCCTGGAGAAAACCGTACGAAGTGTCTATGGTTAATTTACATAGTCATGTGGTATTCGATCACTGTAAGAATTTGTATGTATCACTTCAATACTGTTACGCATTTGACTACAAACGTTTGGTTGCTGCGAAAGACCTTTTGGGGTGATATGGCTGGCAGCAAGGCGAGCCAACGTTCAATGAAAATTAATTCTTAAGCAACAATTCAATTATTTATGGTGGTCCTGAAAAGAACCGTGTGACGAGGGTGACATGCTTGGTATTAGATGGTCCACAGTGACTCACTAAGAACTACTGAATCCGATCAGGAGCGGTGCGGCTTCTTCCTCCTGCTTCGGTGAATGTACGCTCATGTGGGCTGCAGCTTACTGCTTGTGAGTAGCCTTTCGTTGTGTAGTGGAGAACAATTTTCAACGCCACGCGCTGAAAGCACTGCTGCTGATGACGACCAACCGGACATCAACACACACGGTGACCTAATAAGCACCGTTTGGCGAGACCGGATGGAATTCGATTTTTAAATCTGTGTTAGGGAAAGCGCTTTTTGCAGGCAATCGGTTATAATTTTGTTCACCATAGAAACAGTTGCACATTTGTGTAATTTTTTGAACCTATTGAAAATTAATAAACATATTTGTAGAAAGATTTTAAATCAATTGGCTTGTTAAGAAATAAAATCCATCCGCTATTGACAGAGTTATAAGTGGTCAAAACCTGACCACTTTTCGTAGCGCGGTAGATTGGGGTTTTTTTTTGAAAATGCAACCTCAATATGTTGCCAAAAGACGTAATCCTACGTTGAAAAGGGTTCCACACAGCTGCACCATATTCTTATGTGGATCGTACTAGGGAGCAGCATAACGATTCAAGGCAATCCTTAGCTATCCTAAAGATAAACCCCTAAATATCAGAAGGCTTTGTCTACCATGAATGAAATGTGCTGTTGAGGGCTATTTTTCGCGAGAGACGGTGATTATCGAGCACTTGTTAGGGTTTACTGTCATGCAGTTCAAGTCACAACAGTCACTGAATCTATCAATCTGATTTTGTAGAAACATAACGCCAGCATGCGTTTGAATCTTGAGAACAATCTTAAGATCACATTGTTGAAATAAATTAGGACAGTTAGTAGCCCGAGGTGAGGAAAATCTGAAGTTGCTGGGAAAGCGATTGAATTCAAATTCTCAATAGACACACTGAGTTGGCGCTCGTTAAGATACGACTGGAACCAAGATAGTAGACATCCATAGCGTGATTGATCTTCTCATATGCTGCTGATAGGTCGGTGTAGATTGCATCGGTCTGATATCACTCAACTAGGTTTCTCGTAACGGGCGAGGTTTAGCATAGCAGGTTAGATGTCGTTGAACGGTTGGAAACGAATCCGTCTTACAGTGCGATAATAGTGGCTCCATAACAACTAATTCGAAGAGTTTCGAGATAGCGCACAGCGAGGTGATTCCTTGGTAGTTGTATACATCAATCCTGACCCCTTTCTTATGAACTGGATAAATGTGTGCGTTCTTCCAGCAGATCGGGAAGATTCCAGTGCTCAAAGACAATCCAAAGAAATGACATAGAGGCTTCAGTAAAAACGTAAAGTGTTCCTTTAGGAAAACGGACGGTATTCCGTTTTTTTGCCGGGATTGTGAGACGATTCAGCCGATGGGGTTTCGGGATTTGGAGGCAGCTATAGCTATATGCTGCGACAATATACTCTCGTTGACATACACACTAGGATTTTTTTTTGCGTAGAACTGGCAAATTTCTTCAAGGGTAGATGCAATGTTAACTTACAACTTCATGGTAACAGCTTTTTTTTTTAAATTCTTTATTTAAGAGATTTTTAGCCAAAGGCTAGTTCATCTCTAACATGGTAGCAGCGGCCTTTTTAAGCTGTTCATTCACGTACTCCGTGGATTGTACTTGAATTCTTGCTGCAGGTTTCCAGTGTCGCCCTTTTGTACGCCAAGTTTAGCCTCGTAAACCGTCTTAACGCAGCTCTCTTGATGGATTTCATGTTACGAAGACTCTTCGTTTGCCACGGATGACGACTTCGATTCCGATGAACTGTTTTTGGCACATGCCTATCGAAAACATATGTCAGAACATTAGCGAAAGTCCGTGCGGCAATTTCCACGTCGGTGCTATCGAGCACAGTTTCCCACTCAATGCTTGATAAGACCTCAGCCATACTATTATGATCAGTCAATTGTAAGTAACATTAGAGGCACTAACTGTGGATGCGATGATGCGGATCTATTTGCCTTTTGCTGAAGGAAGTGTTGTACCTAAAGCTACAACAAATTTAAACAGCACTTCTCAGTGTTAAAAAATACCTGCAAATTGTCTACTTTGTTCGAATCTTATTCCTCTTCGATCCTTGTTTGGCCTTACCCGAGGTAATCCTGTTTTGACATCGACTTGGAAAATTCCTCTTCGATCTTTCGGATTCTTAGAACAATTTGCTTGGAAGTCGATTTGGAGAAACTTTCTTCTATCACCATGGCGCTTAAACGCAAAAGAAAAGGGCAATCTCTTGATCCCCCTTCGGATGAAATTTATTTGAGCAATCAATTGATATGGTAATGGATGATGAGAATGTTCCATCATTCGAGCAAAATTCCGCTAAACATTCTCGGCTTAATGTCAAGATGGAAAAGTTTCCCCTCTATTGTGACAACCACATCCTATTTCCATTGCTTCGCACGGAACTTTTGAACTTCGTCAAATTCAAACTTTTACTTCACATTGGCCGTCGGGGTGAATGCCGTGAAATGGCTGAAACTTTGAACGGATTCAAACGTCTTCTCAAGTATCTTACTGAGAAGCAACACAAAAGTTTCGCCTATGGCACCAAAACTGAACGTCTGTTCAAGGTTGTCTTGAAAGGTCTGCCCAGTGGTGAATCCTTGGATCAGTTCAAAGATGAATTGACAAAATTACTTGGAGTAGTGCCACTCACATAGAATAGAATGATGCTTCACATCAATACGAACTCAATTTTTGCAGATGAGCAGTTGGATTAGATTAGATTAGATTTCGTCATGGGCATTCAACTACACATCAACTCTTAAGAGCTACAAATTTAATTCGCTCAAACAAATCTGAAAGCTGGTCAACTGGAGTTGCTCTTCTAGACATAGAAAAAGCATTCGACAGTGTTTGGCATGAAGGTTTGATTGTTAGCATTAGCATTAGCATTAGCATCGAACAAGTTGCACAATATCGTAGGTGGTACGAATTCAAAACTATTAAGAGCAAGACGGATATCTGTAACTGGACAGATAGTAAGTAGGGAGTAATTACTATCTCCCAGCTAAAGAAATATCCCGCTTCAACAGTTAAGGATTGTTCTGGCCACGTCCTTACAACTGACAGAATTATCCAAAACGGTCTGAAATCATTTTTACAATGCTCCAAACTGCTCAAGTGAGTGTGACTATTGTCGGCAGCCTCTTTTTCTCCGGCAACGTATCCATTTGAACTGCGTGTTAACCAGCTTTTCGATTATTGGCTGCTCGAAATCAGCCATATTTTGTTGAGCGTTTATTTCATTTGAAGAAAAACCTGGCTCAGTCGTAAAAATGTAATCTGATCGTAGCTGAAAGACCGAGGAATAGTTTAAAACCATTCAGCGAAGTGTTAAAAGTTTGGTTCCTGAAAACAGTCAATGGGTGCCAAAACCATCATTAACACCAGCTCAGAGCACACACAAGAACAGCAAATCCAAATCCCATCGAACTCGGAACTCACAGCACGTTCGATCTGATTGCCTCTCGGTTAAAATCCAAACCTGCTGGGCCGGCTATTGCGGAATCACCTCAACTCACTAAACAGGAAGAGCTGTCGCGATGCATCGAATCTCAACCGGTTACAACGTGCCAAGTTGCAAAATATTGCGCCATCGTCGGAGAGATCGCCGCGGATGAAAACTGGTGCTTCCGAAATCGGTTAGAAAGAAATGGCTCAATCGTAGACACGCACAACCGGTAGACATCACATTCACAGCGGATAAATGGCCTCTGACTGGTGGTCATTTGACCATATAGGGTACATGCGATTCGAACTGTAATGTCAAATTGGAAACTTAAGACCCGATCTGCGCAGACGATCCGCGGCTTCCGGCGTTGATTGAAGTCGTGAAGTTGTGAAATGGGTCTTTAAAATGGCAAACATGCATGGTTAAGATGTTCATCAACGGGTGTGAATCGGCTGTGGATCGCCCAGAGAGGATGTTCAAGTGAGAGTGAAATTTATGTTCGTTTATTTTCGCTTTTTCTGTGGAAATTCGCATTCGGTATGGGGTTTCGTTGAGTCAGAGGTTTGAAGTCTGAACGCAAATTGAAGCTTTTTTGATAAATTTTTCCTCTGTCACTTTTGCTCGAAAGCTAAGGTTCATTTATCTAATTATTATCTTTTATTTCGTTCTATTCACAGGTGTGTCACTATGTTCAATACATATTAAAAAAGCTATTAACGATCAAGTGAAGGAGTCCATTGCATTGGTAAGAGATTCATGAATTTTTTTTTCACCAGTTGTAGATTTCGTATTGCTGACCAAAATAACACACTCGTCTTTTAGACCCTCTCATTCAGCTGTGACTTTATTACGTCCCTTCTGGGACTTAACGCCGTTTTTCAACTTGGTGTTCTTCGAGCACTTCCACACAATCTAATAAATCAGAATCCCATAAAAACAGAATTCAGTGTGACACAATGTATACATATTTATTTAATTTATTACAATCGGTAATAGTTAGGGATTTTTCAAGTTCCCCTATGCTTGCAGATGAACGGCAATACACGCTTTTTCATGCATTCTTCGATGTAAACTTAGGATGTCAACGTCGAGGATGTGATGAATGGTTCCGTTTTCAGGCCACAACTGCAAATTTCTTGCCAAATCATGGCCTTCTTCGCGAAATTACCGCCAAGCACGAACTTGAATTTTTCCGTCCAGTCACGATGTAAAACTTCTGACCGGGAAGCTGCTTAAATTCGAGCTTGACGTATGTTTCGCCATCGATCAAAGTGCAGCCCTTGTGTTGCGTCAAAACACGGTCGTACAAGAGCCTTGCACGCTATTTGGCCACGGAATTCTGCTTCATGTGCCGGTTCGGGTGTTTTCTGGCTTTGTACGACTTGTATCCATCCGTGGCAAGGATGTTCCGCGCCGTTTGAAAGTTGACGTTGTACCTTCTGGCCACATCTCGGATCGAAAGACCGGGGTTGGCTTTAACGCTGCGCAGTTGACAATCCCTGGTTCCAGAGGCGAACCAGCCTTTAGGCTGCAAACCTCTTAAATAAAGAAAAAAAAAAATCCCTGGTTCCAGTTTTTTCGCAGGCCCGCTGATTCCTTTCAACACTCAGGGTTTCCTTGTAGGTTTTGAGCACTTGACAAACTGTTGTTTTCGGCATCTTCAGCATTATAGCCAGCTTGGAACCGGACCACTCCGGATTTTCCAGGTGTTTGTGCACAATATGTTTTCTTCTTCGAGTTCCATTTTTCGTTATTTCTGAACGCGATCGACTACTTTGATCAAACTTGCACCAGTTGTTCTCTATAGAAGTGTGAACAAACCACTGTTAGAGATTTTCGATTCCCAACACTAGAGGTGTGCTAGCGGCGCGTAAGAGGTGACCAATTCTCGATTACTTTTTCGAAGGGACGTATCAGCTTTTGTAAACAATGCATTTGATCGTCGATTTGAAGTAACTGGTAGCTCACACACGCTTACTAACACTACCATGAGATACCATTTTCCCCTACCTGCTAGTGGTGTTAGTAAGCGTGTGTGAGCTACCAGTTACTTCAAATCGACGATCAAATGCATTGTTTACAAAAGCTGATACGTCCCTTCGAAAAAGTAACCGTTAGTTAGTCTTTATTTGAAGTAAAAAATCTCGTGACATTCAGTGTTATTAGTGCACTTCGAATAATGTACATGCTTCTTTCAAAGCGTATTGATCTGCCAAATTATGAAAATTTGTTTGTTTTTCCTTCAGTTTTTGCATTTATAGTATAATGCTGAAACTGTTGTGCCATTTACATAAGTTTCTCAAATCAATCATGTCGGTACCATATTTAGCTGTTTATTTGCAACCGGGAATTTAATTTCATATATTGAATTGCCACACTGAAATTTTGACTTGCAGTTCATAATTTATTTAGTTTGAGAATTTGTTGTTGTTTTTGTTGTAGTTGTATCTGGAGGGCAGTGGTATTATTTTATTAACTGATTCATGAGAGTTTTGTCGTAGAATAATTGCATACCTTTTTCGTTGTTTTTCCTTTAAATTCTACTATTTACTTTCTCAAGACAAGACACGTAAATATTTTTGGTTGCTAGTGTAAAAAAGAGAAATGGGAGGATTGCTAGTTTGACACCCGTTGTTACCTAAGAGGAAGAGGAGACAACTGGCTTCTTACTTTTTTATCTCTATCTCTATCTTACGCACTTCAAATCGTCCAATCACGAGCTGGTTCGCGTTTCACAGAAAAGTGGTTCGTATTGTCTCCTTTTCTTCTTAGGTTGTTACTTGAGACCAATATACCTCCGTATCTGCACGATTGTCACGGGATGCACACTTTTTAAGTGGGAAGCGGAGATACAAAATTTTTTTTTTACAGAAGTCTGCGAAAAAATGTCTGTGAATTTCAGAAATGCAATGCGATCCAATTCTTGAAACTGCCGAAAACATCATAACATATTTAAGCTCCAACTATGTAACATTAAATGCGGCAAAGTGACAACAAATGTCATGCCTTCAAATTCATTCTTACCTTCCCACAATGGACAATTAAAAAATGATTTAGTTGTTTTTGAATTGACGAGCGCAATTTGCGTGTATCATGCTTTCCTATAACGTTATCTAGAAAACTTTATCTATTTTCCGCAACGCGGCGCAATATGTACCAAGCTTAATCAGAGAAGAAAAGGAGAAGCTATCAAATTAGGTGCAGGGCACCAGAGAAATTTGGGTTCACTCGAGTTGTTCGCAGATGACAGGCGTTGCAGTCCTGTGCATGAAATAGATTCGAAATTTGAAATGTCAGTAAAAGTCCTGTTCGAGCAAAACAGACCTATTTTTAACGAATTTAACCTTAGTGGAGTTGGGAATGCATCCATTTACGTCGTATACGTTAAAAACAAATAATGAAAAGATAAATGACGATTTCACGACAAATTCTTGAAAAGCTAACTCTTAGACTGAGTAAAATTTTCTGAGCTTTTATCATCTAATATGAGCAACATCTCGATACACATGAAACTCATGATATCATATGAAACTTATGTGAAATGCTAATTAATATTTTCCAATGGCTCTAATGTTGGCCTATGTATCTAAGATTGGGCCTATCGCTAAAAATCTGCTTTTATCTAGATGAACGCGTCTCTGGGACGGTATTTTTGTCACATTCGAAAAGATTTATGAGGCTCGAAATTTTTTACTCAGTTTACAAGAAAACTTAAATTTAAACTTAAATTTGAGTTGATCTACATGCCATGTAGTGTGGGAATCTGTTAGTTACCTAGTGCTGGTCCTTTTGCACGCCAGCAGTGGGAGAACGAGCACATCTTAGTGAGAGATTCAACTTTCCAGCACATAAATATGGTGAAATCGACAATGAAAAGAGCAATCTATAAGCTGATTAATACTATTCTAAACACTTCGTGCTCAAAAAGTGTTGATGAACCGGGTCAACCTCTAGATTTGTGCCTTTAGGTGAGAAAACCATTCCGTGAAACATTTAGCTCATTTGGTTGTAGGGTGACCTGGCGCTTTTAGTTTGAATTTTGTATGGGAAATTTTGATAAAATACATGAAGAAAGGACACTCCTACACTCTATCGATCATAACAAAGTTTCTTTATACTCGATTTGATTCAGATTTTCAAAACTTGTAGTTCAGTTCATTAGTAACAACTTTGCCGAAAATTGCATCATAAATCCTGTTAGTTTCATTGAGGTATTCGCTGTTGAATGTATATGAGCATTTTGTATATGAAAATGTCCTATGTGAACAGTAACCAAAAGCGCCATTCCAACTAACGTCAAAAAGAGCTGAAACATTCAGAGAGTCTAACATACTGACACGAGACTGGATGTTGTCCTGTGGAAAGTTTGAATTTTTATTATTTTAGTGGTAATCTAATTGATACGTTGCAGAAGCTGCCTGTATTTTGCTGCAATATACGAACAAAATGCACATATAAATTCAAGAATGAATATCTCCATAATAATAACTTGAATCATGATGCTGTCTTCAACAAAGTTGTTTCTCATAGATTAAGCTACAATTGCTGAAATTCTGAGCTTAAAAGAGTTTGCTGAATCAGTTTTATGCACGCAAGAGTGAAGGGATGTTAGTTCTCCATACATTTCGAAAAAAAATCAGCCAAAAGCGCCAGCTCGTGTTATATCCGAATGAGCTGAAATTTTTAGAGAGTAGTTTTCTCACATAATGGCACAAACTTAGGGGTTGGCCCATTGAAAAAAAAAAAACGATAAAAAAAATATAAATGTGGGCCAGTCTAGTGCTCATTTCCTCTCATACTCTATTTCGTATGCTCTTTCTGCTGAATGGGAATTGGAGAGAATCGTGGCACTTGCGTCGTTCTACAATGTTACAAATTACGTACGTACGAAATATCAGATACTGTAGAAAAACCGAAGTCAATCGAGAAGTTCATTCGTGATCGGGTGAATTGCGATGTTGAAGTTACTATCAACCTATTCTGGCGTGAACTCCAGCGTCGCTGGCAGTCAATAATGACTGGCTCGAAGATGTTGTAGTTTTCCAAGGACCCTCTTCTTCATCCGGTATCACCAACAAGCGAGGACGGCCAGCAAAAGAGTTCGACGAAAGCTGTGATCGTAGCAAACGCCGTAAGACCGAACTTCTGCGCAGGAGTAATAGTTCAGGTGAACTACTTTTTGCTGCAAAAATGAGTATAAGAGCCGAGGGAAATACCAGATTGACATCCTGTGAGGACTGTGTTCCAGCTATTTCTAGCGAGCACGCACCGGCTATTTTTATGGACACAAGGTTGACTAAACGAAGCTATAATTTGGTTAGAGAACCGGTAAAATCTATCTATCCGTCGTATAAACGTATACAACCAGAAAAAGCTAAATGTTATCCACCAATCTCTTCCGTTGTATCTTCCGTTCAGCTTCAAGCTCTCCTGGACAAAACATCTTCAAGGTTTTTAAAACGTTCTGAGGAAAATGTGAGCGCGGCGGTAGCAAAAGGGCATAGAGAGCTTTTTTTGATTCTCAAGTGGGGTTGCGATGGAACATCCGGAATTGCAGAATATAAACAAAAATTCTCAATACCGATTCAATCGATAGTCATACATTTTTAACATCCATTGTACTTCTTAGATTTCCTTCAGGGGAAGGTATAATATGGGACAACCCGAGACCATCATCAACTCGCTATTGTAGGCCAGTTTCTCTCCACTTCAAAAGAGAAACTGCAAATATGACTCGAGAGGAAC